ACAATAACAATTAGAATAACAATAACAATAACAAAAACAATAACAATAACAATATAAATATTAATAAAAATAACAATAACAAAAACAATAACAAAAACAATATCAATAACAATAACAATAACAATCATAAAACGATCACAATAACAATAACAATAACAATAGCAAAAATAACAATAACAACAACAACAAAATAGCAATAACAAAAACAATAATAATAACAAAAACAAAAACAATAACATTAACAAAAACGATAACAATAACACTAACAATAACATTAACAAAAACAATAACCATCACAATAACAAAATTAATAACAAAATCAATCACAAAAACAATAACAAAAACAACAACAACTAAATAACAATAACAAAAACAATAACATTAACAAAAACAAAAACAATAACAATAGCAATAACAATAACAATAACAATAACATTATTAATAACAGTAACAATAGCAATAACAATAACATTAACAATAACAATAACAAAAACAATAACATTAACAATAACAATAACAATAACAATAACAAAATTAATAACAATATCAATCACAAAAACAATAACAATAACAACAACAATCACAATAACAATAACAATAAAAAAAGCAATTACAATAACAATAACAAAAAAAATAAAACTAACAATAATATTTACAGTAACAATAACAACAATAACAATAACAATAACAATACCAATAACCATAACAAAACAATAACAATAACATTAACAATAACAATAACAATAACAATAACAATAACAAAAACAATAACATTAACAATAACAATAACAATAACAATAACAATAACAATAACAATAACAATAACAATAACAATAACAATAACAAAAACAACAATAACAATAACAATAACAACAACAATAACAATAGCAATAACAATAAACAATAACAATATTAATAACAATAACAATTACAATAACAATAGCAATAACAATAAATACAACAATAACAATAACAATAACAAAAACAATAATAATAACAATTAGAATAACAATAAGAATAACAATAACAATCACAATAACAATAACAATAACAATAACAATTATAATAACAATAACAATAACAATAACAAAATTAATAACAATATCAATCACAAAAACAAAAACAATAACAACAACAATCACAATAACAATAACAATAACAAAAGCAATTACAATAACAATAACAAAAAAAAATAAAACTAACAATAATATTTACAGTAACAATAACAACAATAACAATAACAATAACAATAACAATACCAATAACAATAACAAAACAATAACAATAACATTAACAATAACAATAACAATAACAATAACAATAACAATAACAAAAACAATAACAATAACAATAACAATAACAATAACAATAACAATAACAATAACAATAACAATAACAATAACAATAACAATAACAATAACAATAACAATAACAAAAACAACAATAACAATAACAATAACAACAACAATAACAATAGCAATAACAATAAACAATAACAATATTAATAACAATAACAATTACAATAACAATAGCAATAACAATAAATACAACAATAACATTAATAATAACAAAAACAATAACAATAACAATTAGAATAACAATAAGAATAACAATAACAATCACAATAACAATAACAATAACAATAACAATTATTATAACAATAACAATAACAATAACAAAACCAAATTTTAATAACAATAAAAATAACAATAACAATAACAATAACGATAACAATAACAATAACAATAACATTAACAAAAACAATAACAATCACAATAACAAAATTAATAACAAAATCAATCACAAAAACAATAACAAAAACAACAACAACTAAATTACAATAACAAAAACAATAACATTAACAAAAACAAAAACAAAAACAATAGCAATAACAATAACAATAACAATAACATTATTAATAACCGTAACAATAGCAATAACAATAACATTAACAATAACAATAACAAAAACAATAACATTAACAATAACAATAACAATAACAATAACAAAATAATAACAATATCAATCACAAAAACAATAACAATAACAACAACAATCACAATAACAAAGTACGAGATGAATGGGCAAATCGGATGGATCTTGAGTCTTGAGAGGGAAGGGGGGCTTGAGCGT